GGTTTGTAGATGACTCAAGAGGTGAACAATTGTTAGTTTTATCAATTTTATTAATTAAACTTTATAGTAAAGTGTAATTTTAAAAGTAAATAAAAAATACAAGAAAATAGAACAAAAGTAGGTTCTTCCACAAAGATAGAAGTTTTTAAAAATTTATTCGTTTCACAGAAGTAGAAGTTTGAAATGCAAAATTTTATTTTGTTTATTTTCTACTTATATTAATTAAGACAATACTATTGAAATTCATTTTAAAAGTTTATGGTATTACGAAGGTATATATTTGATATTGTAAATTTATTTTAAGTGTGTGAAACGTTTAAAACTTAACGGAAAATTATTTATTAAATGATTCCTAAAGCATAACCCACTTTCTATTTATAATTCTAGAATGAATTCAGAAACGATGCAATAAATTTTTACCAAAAAAAAACGATGCAATAAATTCACAAAACAGACCGAATAATAAACTGACGGAGCAACGTGTCGACTCCGGAGAGTATGGAACTCTACAAGAGTTTCCTGTTGATGACATCAGGTCGTGCGTACTTCAGCGCACGATAAGGTCACCCTTCGGCTTTGTGAAAGACTCATCTTCTTTTTCTTTTCCCCAGTCTTTTGTCGTTAAACGTTACATTGCTTTTATAAATTGTTTAATGTTATTTCTTTAAATAAACAAATTATTATCTTGGCTACTACTATTATTCTATAGCTGATGGACATAAATAAAGGAAAGAGAAAAGGCAAAGAAATAACAAATCCTTTTTATCATCTCTTTCCATGATGGGAACGCTTGACCTCTAAGTTTTGTTCACTGCAAGCATAGGAACTCCAAGAACTTCTCCTTCCTTTAGATATTTCTCTGGTCGGTCTGAAAAAAAAATATCTCTGTTTGATCCACAGATTACTCAGAAATGTACTTCAAAGGTTTGTGTCAGTAAGCTAATGTAAGTTTGGTACAAGCTATTGGATCTACAAGTGAAGGTGAGGCAAAAAGTAGAAAAAAAAAAATATTTGTTTCTCTTTTTATTTCTACTTGGATTAAACATATATGAATATATTTGGCTGATGTGCTAGAGAATAGAGAGATGATGAGTTCTTCTTCTCCAACTCAACTTGCATCTTTAAGAGACATGGGAATCTATGAACCATTTCAACAAATGGTCTCTTGGGGGAATGTTTTCAAATCTGATATCAATGATCATAGTCCAAACACTGCTTCTTCCTCTGTTATTCAAGTGGATGCTAGAGTTGATGACCACAGTAACATCATTAAGGTTATATATTATATACTTCTCTCAAGATTTAACTTAGAAATTATGTTATTGGTTTTTTTGCTAATGGTTTGACTTATGTGCAGGCAAATTACGCTTCTTCTTCTCACAACCAGATCGAAGCAGAACCTTCTAGTAATGATCAGGAGGATGATGATGATGGCAGGAATGATGATAAGGTTAGTAATAAACATAATTAAGAATCCTTTTTAATAAAAGAAAATGGCGGTTTTTGTGGTATTGATATCATTTTCTCATATGTTGCAAATAGATGAAACGGCGTTTAGCTCAAAACCGAGAAGCTGCTCGAAAAAGTCGCTTGAGAAAGAAGGTATAAATCTTGTAGGACAGTGAAAATTCTGATAAAAAATGATGAAACAAACCAAGTTGAAATCAATAATTTAGAACTATAAAACATTTGAATACACAATGGTTCCAACAAATCTCATATAGTAAAGTTATACTATTACTACTACTAAGTCTGTTTTGTTTCTTTAGGCTTATGTTCAACAATTAGAAGAAAGTCGGTTGAAGTTATCTCAGTTAGAGCAAGAACTTGAAAAGGCTAAGCAGCAGGTGAGCTTAAGTGAAAAAAAAAGACTGATTAAAATGTTATATTTTGTATTTTGTATTCTGACTGATCAGTACTATTTTCTTTTTTTTTATTTAAGGGAATGTATTCGTTAGGTTCGAGCTATGTAGGACCATCAGGGAACATTAACACAAGGATTGCTGCATTTGAGATGGAATATTCACATTGGCTTGAAGAACAAAACAGGAGGGTTAGCGAAATGCGAACAGCGCTTCAAGCTCATATAAGCGACATAGAACTAAGGATGCTTGTAGAGAGTTGCTTGAATCATTACGCTAATCTCTTCAGAATGAAATCTGATGCAGCCAAAGCAGATGTTTTCTACTTGATATCGGGAATGTGGAGAACTTCTACAGAGAGACTCTTCCAATGGATTGGAGGGTTCCGTCCATCAAACCTTTTAAATGTAAAAACTCTCAAACTCTCAACATACTCTAACTTAAAATGCTATTTGACAAAATGTCATGTTTCTTAACTCCTTTTGTTTTGTAGGTTGTGATGCCGTATCTTCAGCCATTAACTGATCAGCAAATCTTGGAAGTGAGAAACCTCCAACAATCATCACAACAAGCAGAGGATGCACTATCTCAAGGGATGGATAAACTTCAACAGAGTTTAGCTGAAAACATAGTGACTGATGTCGAGTCCATGGACTACCCGCCTCACATGGCTGCAGCTATTGAAAATCTTCAAGCATTAGAAGGGTTTGTGAACCAAGTAAGTCAAAAGAAAGTTCTTCATCTATGATGTTTTTAGATAAAAACACACATATAAAGAAAGCTAAAAATTATTTTTAAAATTATAAATTTAAAAATACTCAACCAAGTACAAATCAACTATAAAATATAATTAAGTTAAAAATATGAAAACATCAAAACATTTTTTTCTAAAAATATATTATATTTTGAAAAGGATAGAATATGTGTCCTTTTTTATTTTATTTTTGTGCACAAGAATATGTGTCCTTTATATATCAAAAGATTCAAGAATGTATGTTTGTTCACCAGGCGGATCATTTGAGACAACAAACATTGCAGCAAATGGCAAAGATCTTGACAACAAGACAAGCAGCTCGAGGTTTGCTTGCTCTAGGAGAGTATCTTCATAGGCTACGGGCTCTTAGCTCTCTATGGGCAGCTCGTCCACGAGAAGACGCCTAAAAAGGAAAACATCGAAATACAAGTTTAAAGGTTGAGATGATGCTTAAGTATAACGTTATGAAGTATCTCGCTCCATATATTTTCAGACAAGAAGATGTAAATTTGAGTGGAAACTTTTGTAATATATATTAGATACCAAATAAATAAGTGTATGCTCGTTAGTGTAATATTATTTTTTATGTTTGAAATCTGAGCAATGTGATAATACTATATGCTAATATATCTTGGTCCATATATTTTGAAATAAGAGACGTGAATTCGAATGTGAAACTTTGTAACATATATTAGATACCAAAAAACAAGTGTATAGTGTAATAATATTTTATATTATTGAAATTTGAGCAATGTGATAACATACGTACCGAATCTAAATTATATATATAATTCAGGGGCTTAAACGCGAAAGGTTAGATTCGTAATTTACGCTTTATTACGTTTCTTCTCCACAGGTTTTTCCGGGAGAATTTGATTACTTTTCTTGCAAAATTTCCGAGAAAATTCATTTTGGGGAATTCGATTTTTTATATGAATTTCTGGTTTCTGGGTAGGAGATTGAAGTGATGAGCAACCACCTTCGAGCTATCTGTAGACCACACACGGTGTTTGCCTCGATCGTGTGTTGTAGTAGAAACCAATCTCTATCAATCCTTAGGGTTTCGATTCAAAAACTCGGCTTTAGAACTCGGGTCTCTAATTCGTCTCCGTTTACGTCTAAAGATTCGAGCTTTTGGTTTGGTGTGAGTCAGAGGAGGACTCTCGTGAGGGCTGCATCGAATTGGAGTGAAGAGAAGTCTCCGTACGATACTCTCGGTAAAGTTTGTAACTTTCTGTAACTAACTGTTGTTTGGTTCGTGTGTGTATCAAGATTTTAGCTTAAAACTGTTCGTATGAGCTTTGTGGCAATGAATGATCATTGAAAACAGAGTCCTCTGTTTTTTCGAGCTAAGATTTGGTTCTGTTTTGTGTGTACAGAGCTGGAACGAGATGCAGAGGAAGAGCAGATTAAAGTGGCATACAGAAGATTAGCCAAGTACTATCATCCTGATGGTACTTCTCTAAATCTTTTAGAGCTCAATCAAAGTCTAGAACTTGGGTTAGTTTAAGTGTTTGTGAGGTTATAGCAACACAAGACCAAGAAGACGTTTGTTTATACATCTCAGTATTGTGTTATGTCTAAGAAACTCTACATGAGGAGTCACTTTATGCTCAAGAAGTTGTTTTTTTAATTGTATAAGATTTGTTTTGTGTGTAGTTTATGATGGGAAAGGGACGCTTGAGGAAGGAGAGACAGCAGAAAGTAGATTCATAAAGATTCAGGCTGCGTACGAGCTCCTCATGGACACGGAGAAGAGAAGACAGTATGATATGGATAACCGAGTGAATCCAATGAAGGCATCACAAGCTTGGATGGAATGGCTGATGAAAAAGCGTAAAGCATTTGATCAGAGAGGTGACATGGCCATTGCAGCTTGGGCTGAGCAACAACAGCTTGAGATAAACCTACGTGCACGTCGTCTTTCTCGTTCTAAGGTAAAGACTAATAAGTGTTTTATGAGTTTTTTCTTTTGCTCTGTGTTGAGAATGTTGGTGAATCTTGTTAAGGTGGATCCGGAAGAAGAGAGGAAGATACTGGAGAAGGAGAAGAAAGCATCAAGAGAGTTGTTTAACAGTACTCTAAAGCGACACACATTGGTATTGAAGAAAAGAGATTTGATGCGAAAGAAGGCTGAGGAGGATAAGAAGAAGCTCATCACTCAGCTGTTAGCAGCTGAAGGTCTCGAGCTTGATACTGAAGAAGAGGAGGAAGAGACAGCCAAGTAGACATTTTGGAAAGCTTCACCTTTCTTTATATCTTCTTCAAGTTACTAAGCACTTGGTATACTTTGTCTTTGTTTCAACTTCTCTTACATATCGTAGAAACATACATGTAGATATTATATTATATATTTACCAGAACTTCAATTCACAGTTCAGCATTAAGTTTCTTCATTAGGAAATAAGAATTTGAAACGGAGAATGAAGTTTGATACATATTGAAAGATAGAACAGCGAATTTGACTCAGAAATGTCACAAAAACATTTATATTTTCCTATCCGGTTCATAATGTAAAAGTAACAAGACCAAGCACAAGATCTTTTGCTTATAAAATTTGAGAAAATCCATACAAGTAGGGGGAAAACAAAATCGAAAATGTTATCACTGGTCGCCAGGAATGCTCTTGATAATGTCAGAATCACCTAAAACCAGTCAAAAGCCAAAATCATTAGTAAGGATCAGACGAAGATCCAACAACATGAACAAGAAGCTGGCGAGTATGTAGTAAACAAGTAGTTAGCTAGTGGTATTCTTATTACCAGGATCAACGATGCTCAGACAAGAAACACGGAAGTACTTTCCACAAGCTGTTCCCAAATCAACGTTGTCTGGAAGAAGAAGAAGAACACAGTCAAGCAAAAGTAAAACAATAGATGAATCAGCCTTATAAAAAAACATGTTTTCTTGAAACATGAAACTAAGATGGATAGAATAAATATTCATCTACTTCCTTTCATGATATGATCTCAGACATCAGAGAATGTATCAAAACGCTCTACGGAGGATATCAATGAGGATTATACAGACAGAACAGCCAATTTGGTAACCTGATGTAAGGATGCAACTTCTGTATTTTTGTAATAAACCCATTACAGAGTCACCCGTAGAAATGCAAAAGATCAACACTTTTAAGTCAACAAACATACTAATTCCTCTAATTAGGGAACACACTTTCATCATCAGCTTAATCGTCGGTCTATAGAAGCAGATTTTTACAATTTCACCAACTCAGGTTGACACCAATCTCAGTTACTAGTGAAAGCTGAATACAATTAAAGAGACATCTCTAAATATATATATAAAAGCTAAAGAAGATTGGTCATAAGAATGAAAATGGACTCACTTCCATTGTAGTGGTGGACACCAACTTTGGCGAGCATAGCATAGTACTCAATCTCTGATCTTCTCAACGGTGGGCAGTTCGAAGAGATGAGAATTAACTTCCCTGTGAACATTAAAACAATCCATAATCAACATCTACACACATATTAATGCATATGCACACCAAGTGTTCGATTAAATTACCTTTAGAGCCACGGAGGGATTTGAGCACAGACTTGTAACCAAGAGTGTATTTACCACTCTTCATTACAAGAGCCAACCTACTGTTGATTCCCTCGTGTGACTTCTTCTGCAATCACAACACACAGAAACACTTTGTTGTGTTAAGTTACGTAAAAAGGATAAAACTTTCGATAAGAGAGGACGTGAACGCACCGTTTTCTTGGCCGTCACCATTTTCGCAGAGAGGATGATGAAACTGTCCTGGATCTGTGCGGCGGAGGAGAGATCGAGAGGAAGAAGAATTAGCTGCTTGGTAAACGTTTTTATAAATGTTTTAGGGTTTTGCTCCTTTCAATGTTTTGAAAATTCCAGTTATGCCCTTGATTTTATGTACTTTGTAAGTTTTGTGCAGTTAAAATAGTTTAGTAACAATTTGATCCCTGATTTCCAGTAATTATGAAAAATGTGTTTCAAATACTTTAAAAATGAATAAATAAAATCATTTTAAGTTTGGTGCAGAAAATACGAACTCAAGGAGATGGGATACAAAGTATGAAAAAAAGAAAGAAAGAGAGAATTGCACAGAACTGTTTAATCGGTTTTCTGAGGATAGGGACAAAGGACATTGTTTTGGGTACTTCCAGAAACATAATGAAGAGTCCATCTTTTTCCTTATACTAAAGCCATTTCTTCACATTTTTGCATATTTAATAATATAACATTATGTGTAAGGTTTATGGGTGTTCAATCCAGAAAACCGAACCGAAATAGAGAAAATGGTTAGAATTCGATAATATTAGGGATGGTGTATTAAACAAGATATTTAGAGTGTTAGAATTTTAATAAAAACTAGATATCGATCCGCGCAACCGTACGGGTGTTTGTTTTCATTTATTTATACAGAAACATTTTGTTTACACTTCTAAATTGATATATATATATATATATATATATATATATATATGAGATATGTATATCAATTTTTAAAAGATAATAATTTTCTCATATATTAATTTTTTATATGAGATATGTATAATAATTTTTAAAACAATTTGTTTTCACTTCTAAATTGATATATATATATATATGAGATATGTATATCAATTTTTAAAAGATAAATAATTTTATCATATATTAGTTTTTCATCGAATAGATTATTTTAAACATTCACATGTATTTGTATCTTCTTCTATATATATTGTTTTGAATTATTATTTTATTATTAAAGTCGTAAATATATGTAAAGATTGGTAAAATATTGTTTTATTCTTATCTTTAAAGATATTGTATTATTTCTCAAATTTAGAAATTTTAACAATAAAAAAAACTTTTAACTTCATATTATGGAGTAAATAACTAAACATTTAATTTTTGTTATTTTTAAAATAAACGATATAACTTAAAAATGTTTTTATTGGTTTAAGGTAGTATAACTTAATCATTGTTAGAATATGATGATTTTTGTTATTTAAAAAAAAAACTATATAATTTTAAAAGTTAACATCGACAAATATATTGTAAATAATTAACTTATGAAAATATACTATTACAACACTAAATCATATCCATTTAATTTAAACATGTATTTTATTATATTATCTATAAATCCAATGGACTATCCAATTATTGTTAGCCCAATAAAAAATTTTAGATAAGCCCAGAATTATATGTAACTAATTTAAAGGTTATTAATTATTGATTAAATAATGTAATGTGACAAATTATAGTAGATGTTCCGTTTTAAATATCACACATTAAAAGAGTCATGATTTCTCTTTTAATATATTAGATTTATGTGATTTTTATGGTTTTGGATGATTTTAAAGTAGTTGTTATGATTTTGTATTAAAATCTTCTGAAATTCCAGATATAGATATTTGTACTTTTAATTAAGGAAATCGTCTAAAATCCTATGCAGTCATTAATATTTCAATACTTAAAACATTTTCAATAACAGTGGATTTGATAAGTTTTTAACAAATTGTTGTTTGAATAACAGAGAATTTTAAATTTCAAATTATTTTACATAAATTTAATATTCAATAACACTGGATAACAAAAGATTTTAATAAAAACTCAAAAGTCTCCTAAAATCATTGATTCAATACACCCCCCCCTAGATTTATAGAATCGGTGTTATTTTTACGAAATTGTGGTATATGGAGATAGTATGCTATATAAACCGAGTAAACAGAAAATCTCTAAACCTAATTAATTAAAATATAGTGGTAGAGTTATATGTAAATTATATAGTATAATTAATATTATATACATCACTTATTTTGAGTGATATTGATATTGATATCAATATGATATGATATTGATATTTAAAATTTTGAGTTTAGTAATATAATAGTTTGATTTAAGTTAAAAGTTATTTTTCAATTTTATCAAATTAAATAAAATATAAGGATTAAATATGTGTGCTGGTATTTAGTTATTAGTAATATTATCATATTACTAACTTTTTCTTTTTAGTTTATAGAAATGATTAACTCCCTGTGTTTCACTTTAGTTGTCATTCTAGGTTTTTGTACATAGATTAAGGAAACATTAAATTTTACATATTTCCAAATAAAAACACAATTACCTATACACCTAACAACTTTTCAACCAATAGAAAAATGGAATATTATATAAAACTAATAATTTTTTTTTCGAAACTCTAAAACGACCCTTAATTTGTAACAACAAATTAAGCCTAGAATGACAAGTATTCTGAAATGGAATGAGTAATTATTTTAAATAGTATAATAAAATAGAAATATTCTATTTAGAAATTGAATTATATTTATGTTTTAGTAAAGCCAAAATCTAATCTTACAAAGTTAAAAATTTACAAAATGTTATAAAATATATATATGGTTTTTGGTAAACTAATAACTAACAGTATATAAATCGAATCGAACTAAAATAGATATGGTTTTAATACATCAGCTATTTTTTTATAAATAAAAAAATAAACTGAAAATCCGAGAAAGAAAGTGAACTGAAACCAAACCAAAATTCGGACTAACATCCCCAGTAGGGTTGATGTTTACACTAATCCAGAATGTGTTATATTTGTTCTAAACTGGTATGTGTTTCAGTTGATCTACAAAGTTTTGGATGATAAATTAATAATAATACACAAAACAATAATAACAACTAACACTATAAAACACAAAGAGCGAGGTGACCCTTGTAGTTATAACTTTAAACTATAGAGAAATTAGGGTATACACCAAAGAACTTATGTGTATTTAGTGATTTACCAAATTCTACTGTTTGTCCATCGATTGTGTATTTTATGGACTTTGCTACCCCTATATTGGACAGTGTTAAAATTTATGACTGCATGTAAACAAATTGAGCAAAAATATCTCGTAAGATCTTGTTCTCTGCACTCAAATCTTCATCAAGATAAGTTTTTCCAATTTCATTAGAAAAATTTACAAATTTTGGAATTCAAAATTATTTCCTATTTTCCTCTTTCATCTCTTTACTTACAGTTAAACCCCAACCATTTCATATATACTAATATATAATTTTGGAACTCAATTTTTTCTGACTATAAACATGGATTACAGTTGTCTATCCTCTCAAGATAGAAGGAATTGACGAGGTAGCACCACCGTGTCTACTACCGCAGAAGATTTTCCTAGAGAAAAGAACCAGTGGGTGTTAGGATAACACTGTACCAGAAAACCTATCGTATTAGACAAATAATTTAACGCTCTTGACGTACCTTGATATTATCTGCGGTTCTCCCTTTTATAAATTGGTCGAAATTTCTGAGAAGCTGTCAAAAACATTAATTAGATAAGAGTATTCTTGGAGAGGAAGTGGAGGAAGATGAGATGTTCATAGTGTTACGAATTACCATTATCTATCTTTCTGAATTTCTGGCATACTAGCCTTAAATTGATGAGCTTGTCCACATGCTTACACAACTGCACAGCTTTTTAGCCTAACGTTCTTGTACCAAATCTAATCAAAATTCATGTTTTTCTACAATCTATTTTTTACTAAATGCATGAGAATTTAATTGGTGTGTTGCATATTGTTCCCACGTTTGATACCAATAACTGCCGTATTGTCAATCATGGAATCAAAGGAACCGGAAAGGACATTTTTTTTGGATATCTTGCTAAAGCCAAGCCAAGCTGAGGAACCCGCAACATCTCTGTTGGATAATTAAGTTTATTATCAATTCGAAAAATTGTTAACCGTAAACTTTATTTAATCAATAGTCAGAAATTTTCGTATGCTATTACAGTGAATTCCAGATAACAATAAGCTAGGTTTCTCATTACCGCTAACAAGCTATCAAACAAGTTACACCTACAACTACAAAATTAATGAGCAATATTATATCATAGACTGTAGGAGGTTTATGGTTCCGATTTATGGTTTTTTTTTTACATCAAACGGTTGTTCTAATACTCAAGCTTGAGATGGTCTGGGTAGCCAAACCGGAATAGAACAACCAACATACAAAAATTCTCGATAAAAAGATCTAGCAATCTTAGCTAATGAATCAGAAACCCCATTATGTGTCCTAGGAACATAAAAAGCTTTTGTCTGGGAAGCAGATCCGCAGCGTCATGAGCTTTTCCAATTCCGTTGAGAAGCTTGGCCATTCATGAGGATTTCTGAGCATCACAATCATCACATTGCAGTCAGTCTCAAAGCTTTGACATGGCGAATGTTAAAGCATATTTTCCATTTTCCATTTCCCTCTACCGTGCTTCCAATTCTGCGTGCAAAGCAGACTCCACTCTATCAAAATTGTACAATCCCATTAACTGGCTATTTCCCAAGCTATCATCCCAAACCCAACCACATCCACTGAACTGAGCTATAAAAGTCCAAGATCCATCCACCATACATATATTTCCTAGACTTATGGCCTGGCTTTCAACATCTATGTTTCCTTCGGATGACGATATAATCGGCTTATTGGCTTGGAACCAAGCTTGATACTCACTCTCTACATAACGGGCTAGCTTCAATGGATCTCTATCAATTTCCTTAAACAACTTATCATTTCGAGCCTTCCAAATATACCAAATTAGCCAGGGATAGGGATCCCTATCCAATTCCGGTTCCATTATGTCATTTTTCCTCCATAAGAGATAATCCATATTCGCATATGTGCTCTAAAGTGGAAACAAGGTAGGGCTGGTAGGCGTAGATGATAAGGCTCAAACTTGCAATGCGGGTGGACACTGAAAGATTGCATGTGTAACTGATACTTCTGGTTCACCACATCGCGGAAAGTGATTATCACATCTCATATGTCTGTAGTTTA